CCGCGGTGTCTGTGTCCATGAGCTGTGACCTGCGGGGGCTGTGTCCGTGGGCTCTGTCTGTGGACTGTCACCCGCGGTGTCTGTGTCCATGAGCTATGTCTGTGGGCTGTGTCCGTGGGCTCTGTCCATGGGCTGTGTCCGTGGGCTCTGTCTGTGGACTGTCACCTGCGGTGTCTGTGTCCATGAGCTGTGTCTGTGGTCTGTGTCCGTGGGCTCTGTCCGTGGGCCGTGTCCGTGGGCTCTGTCTGTGGACTGTCACCCGCGGTGTCTGTGTCCGTGGGCTGTGAGCGCGGGGACTGTGTCCGTGGGTGTTGGTCTGGTGGCAGACGTCGGTGCTCTCTGGGTGTGAGCTGTGTGCTCTCTGTACTGAAGGCAAACCATGTTTTGACAAGGCGTCCTGCCATATTTTGCTCAATTGACACACCAATGTAATAAGAGCTTTTTAATTACCTGTTTGAGATACGGTATGTGCTTATTAGGAAGGGGGCTGACTTTGGGGCGCTGCCCAGCCCTGCAGCCTCCCGCTGCTCACCTTATTACAGTAGCGGGGCGTCTTCTGCCCGCGCCCAGCAACCTTTGATTTTTGAATTAAATGTCAGCTGCGGTCACCCTGGGCCGGGCTGACCCCGCCCCTGCGGCAGCCACCCCTTTGTATGTGGCCAATCACATGTAATTTACTGCCGGCCCTCCCGGCACAGGGAACTTAGGCCATAAGGGGCATTAATTCCGTTTTCGTGGCTGGGGTCCGGGAAGGGGGGCTGGCGTTGGGAGGGGCTGCTTTGCAGCAGAGGAAGCCCATTTTAGGATGAAGGTATTTTCCTTTTAATTGCATCTAATTACACTTGCCATTTGGGGGGGGGGCTGTGCTTCCCCTCCTCTGGTGGGGGAGGAAGGCTTGCTTTTAGACCCTGGGAACCTCCTTGGAGTGGCTTCAGGAGCCAGCCCTGTTTCCTTCCGGCCCAGCAGGTCTCTGAGGAGAAGACGTGTATGCTCTTCTCCATCCGGAGGCCCAAGCTGCCGTCCTCGGAGGCGCACCCCGAGGAGAGCCTCTACCAGAGGCTGGACGCGCCCGCCTGGCTGCACCACCTGAACGCGCTGGGCCAGGTGGAGGAGGAGTACAAGCTGCGCAAGGTGAGGGGTCCGCTTGGTGGTCTTTCCGGGGAGGGTCGGGCGGCCTCCCAGCCTCCCCAGGGCCGTCTCCTCGGGAGGCCTCGGCGCAGGGCAGGGAGGGCGGGGGGACCCGCATGTGAAGTTCCCTGCATTTGTACCGATGAAGCAATCAAGGCTGCGATGTTGAAAAGACAACCCCGAGCGAGCGAGCGGGTTTGGGGGGACCCCATGTCAGCCTGCCCGGGCCGGGGTCTGCGGCATTGAAATCAATGCTGCCTTTCCAAACCCGGGGATTAGGCGTTGACGGGAGAAGGACAGGTTAATCGCGCGCCGCCCGGGGGGGCTTTGACATTGAAATGAGCCGGTTTGTGTCCTGTGTGGGAATGGGGGCCCGGCTTCCCCCTGGTAAACATGTGCAAATTGCCGGGGGTCTGGATCCCACCCCGCACTGGGAGCACAGGGCCCGGGGGAGTCTGGGGTTCTTTGAGGGGGCCCTGCTCCACCTGCCCCCCCCCACTTGAGCCATCTCCTGCAGGCCATTTTCTTCGGTGGCGTGGACGTGAGCATCCGGGGCCAGGTCTGGCCCTTCCTGCTGCGCTATTACAGCCCCGAGTCCACGGCAGAGGAGAGGGAGGCCCTGCGGGCACAGAAGCGGAAGGAATACGGGGAGATCCAGCAGAAGAGGTGCCCCCCCCCCGCGAGCCCCACGGAGACGTAGTCGAGGTCGAGGGCCCCTGGAGGGCAGTAATGTGACCCCTGACCCATGGTTTCTTTTCAAAATGGCTCTCTGGGGAGCGTGAGGGGGTGAACCCCACACATGGAGGGGGAAGAGTGTGAGCGGGTGACCCCCACATGGGGGTGGGGAGCCCTCACCACACAGATCAAGGCCTGGGGTAAGGAGAGGGGCCTCTGGAAAGGGGGCCTAGGGTGAGGAGAGGGGGCGCTGAACCTTTTTGCCCCTCCAGGGGGCTGGGCCGGAGGCAGGTGCCTCGCTGCCCACCGGCTCTCCTCTGAGGGCTGGCCCCCAGCTGCCTGTGTACACAGCCCCTGCCCGCTCCCCCCCAGCAAACGAGCCCCTTCCTGGGGCAACGTGGGCACCCCCCCATCGTGTCTGCTCCCGCCTCCTGCTTCCCCCTCCCCCAGGCTCTCCATGACCCCCCAGGCTCTCCATGACCCCCCTCTCCATGACTCCCTCCCCAGGCTCTCCCATGACCCCCCCAGGCTCTCCATGACCCCCCCAGGCTCTCCATGACTCCCCCCCAGGTTCTCCATGACCCCCCAGGCTCTCCATGACCCCCCAGGCTCTCCATGACTCCCCCAGGCTCTCCATGATCCCCCCAGGCTCTCCATGATCCTCCCAGGCTCTCCATGATCCCCCAGGCTCTCCATGACCCCCCTTCCCCCCAGGCTCTCCATGACCCCACCTCCCCCCAGGCTCTCCATGACTCTCCCCCACACTCTCTATGACTCCCCCCGACCCCCTCAGGCTCTCCATGACTCCCCCCAGGCTCTCCAATGCCCCCCCAGGCTCACCATGACCCCCCCAGGCTCTCCAATGACCCCCTCAGGCTCACCATGACCCCCCCAGGCTCTCCATGACCCCCTTCCCCCCAGGCTCTCCATGACTCCCGGGGAACACCGAGCCTTCTGGCGCAGTGTGCAGTTCACCGTGGACAAAGACGTGGTGCGCACCGATCGGAGCAACCAGTTCTTCCGCGGGGAGGACAACCCCAACGTGGAGTGCATGAGGTACCGAGGTACCGGGGCGGCCTCCTCCGCTCCCTCCTCTGTAATCAGGGCCTCCGGTCACCCCTCTGGCGGAGACCAGGCGCAGACCAGGCGCGTCCCGAGCCCTTGGGTACCCCAGGGAAGCCACTGCGTCCTACCCAAGGGAGCCAAGCCTGCTCCCCCTGGGCTCACACCACAGTGGCACCCCGTGCTCCCAGTGGGTGGTCTTCCTGTAATAACCCACACCCAGCCAGAGGTGGCATCTTTGACATTCTGCTGCCAGATGACAAATAATTGCACAAAATTAACAGCCCATAAAAGTGTCCCAACCAGCCTGCCCCTTGTCACAGGCAGCGGACCATTAAGGAAATGAGACCCACCTTCCTCACGCCCGCTCTGGGCTCTGGGCTCTGGGCTCTGAGCCTGGTGAACAGCTGATCGCAGGCCATCGCCTGTGCACAGCCAGGGACGGACAGTCTCTCTGCAAAGCCTGGGCCGCTGAGGTGCTGGCGGCTTCCAGGCCTGCGGTGGGGGGTGGGGGGCTGCCACCCCTGAGGTGGAGCCGGGGAGGCCCCGGGGTCTCCCGCCTGGCCAGCCGCCATGCCGGGACAGCCAGGGCAGAGACGCTCCTGCTCACCTCTGCGTTCCTCACCTCGCAGGAGGATCCTGCTGAACTACGCCGTGTACAACCCGGCCATCGGCTACTCCCAGGGAATGTCGGATCTGGTGGCACCCATCCTGGCCGAGGTCCTGGATGAGTCGGACACCTTCTGGTGCTTTGTGGGTCTGATGCAGAACACCATCTTCGTCAGCTCTCCTCGAGACGAGGACATGGAGAGGCAGCTGGTGAGGCTCAGGGCTGTGTGTGCATGTGTGTGTCTGTGTGTGTGTGCATGTGTGTGTCTGTGTGTGCATGTGTGTGTCTGTGTGTGCATGTGTGTGTCTGTGTGTGCATGTGTGTGTGCATGTGTGTGTCTGTGTGTGCATGTGTGTTTGTAGACTTAGAACATGTGTGTACATGCCCATATGCACGTGTGTGTGGCATATGTGTGTAGGCTCAAAGCTGTGTGTGTGCGTGTGTGTATATATGTGTGTGTGTTCAAGGTTTCTGTATGTATAGGCTCAAGGCTGTGTGTGTGTGTACGCTCAGGCTCTGTGCGTGTGCATGTGTGTATGTGTGTGTGCATATGTGTAGGCCAAGGGCTGTGTTGATGTGGTGGGGGCTCAGGTCTGTGTGTTCATATGTGTGCGCACACATATGTGTGCACATGCACGCTGCAGGGCATGGAGGAGAATCACACACCACCTTTTCCTCTTGCTGCTAGGGGTCTGTGGGTGATGTACTGTTTTGCTGTCGTGGGTTGGCAGACAGCAGAAGCCGGTGTGGGCGTGGCTGGCGGGGATGGGGCATCCCAGCCCCTGGAAGGGCCAGCAGCTTCAACAGAACGGATCGGCTTGCGGGCCCACGCCACTCCCCGCCACACTTGCTGCAAGGCCAGAGGCCGAGCTGCTCGGGCCAGCCCTCCCGTGCTCGGCAGGGCAGGGCAGGAAGGGGCCCCTCCCACTGGCCCTACTGCGAGAACTCGATTCTGGGCTGTGTCTGGGTCGCAGGGTCTGACACAGCAAGACGCCCGTGTGGGGTGTGGACCCCACACACCTCTCACATCCCCACTCCCAGGAATGACAGGCCTTTCCTGAGGGCCAGGCTGGCACCTCCCTTGAGGCCAAGGAACGTCAACCCTGCCTGGATCAGCCAGGACTGCATGGGGGGAGGTAGAGGGGGCTGAACCAGGGGCAGAGCAGGGGCCTCGCGCCGCCCGGGGACACGTCGGCACACCTGCTCTGCTCCGTGGCTAGTGCGTGTCCCCGTGTCCCATCTGCCGGTGCCAAGGCCGGGTGAGGATCGCCTGCCCTGCGGCAGGAGGGGAATATGGTCTGGAAGGTGGCGCCAGGACTCTGAGCCCGGGGTAGAGAGCATGACGGGTGTCCCAGCCCTGCTGAGCCCCGCCAGTCCCTCTGCACACGGGCTGGGCCGAGGTGCCCGGCTGAGCCGTGGAGGGCCGCAGGGAGTGCTGAGGAGCCGGTCCACAGAGTGGAGGGGCCGTGGGAGGCAGGGGGAGGGGCTCCATGGGGAGGGGCCGGCTGTGGCGGCCACAGTGTCCAGTCAGGCCGGCTCATCGGGCCCGTTGGGTGCTGACCAGTCCTGCCGCTGGGCCCAGGAGAACAAAGGGCTGTTTGTGTGTGGGGAGGGGGTGCGGGGGCCACTGGGGCACGGCTGGCCCGCCCTGTGGTGGGTCTGTCCCCGCCGGCATCCCAGGCTGTGACCATGGGCGTCCCTGATGGCGGTCAGGCCCCAGCCACCCCGGGAGGCATCGCGGGCTCTGACGCCATTTGCCGGCAGCTCGAGGCCGCGCGTGCCCCCTGACTCACGAGCCGCTGGTGCGGATTCTCCTGCAGCACTGGTGAAGCCAGCACCGAGCCCCGGGCTGCCCAGAGAGCCTTGTCCCCTCGTCCCCTGTCCCCTCATCCTCGGTGACCTTACTCGGGCCTCTCAGCTCATGGGAGACCGTCATCCCTATCTCTCTCTCCTCTGAGCCAGTGCTGAGGGACGATGGGAGCAGAAGGGCCTGGCTGGGGTCCCAGGGGTCACCCTGCCCACCCTGCCAGAGGCAGGTGTCGCAGTCAGCCTCCCGGCCCCCCTTCCCCCCTCCCCCGCCACAGCTGCCATCCAGGCTGCACGCACGGGGCAGGCACAGGCCTCCTTTGCGTGCTTCTCAAGGTTGGAGGTGGCCTGAGGAGGGGCCTCCCTGGCCAGGTGAACAGGCCCGCCCCGGGTAGCCTCTGATCCCCCCAGCTGTCCCTGGGGGTGGACAGGCCTGCCCCAGGCCAGGCTGACCCCCCCCGACCCCCTCCTGCAGCTGTACCTGCGGGAGCTGCTCCGGCTGACCCCCCCCCCCGTTCCCCCCTGCAGCTGTACCTGCGGGAGCTGCTCCGGCTGACGCACCTGCGCTTCTACCAGCACCTGGCATCGCTGGGCGAGGACGGGCTGCAGATGCTCTTCTGCCACCGCTGGCTCCTGCTGTGCTTCAAGCGAGAGTTCCCTGAGGCGGAGGCCCTGCGGATCTGGGAGGCCTGCTGGGCCCACTACCAGGTGAGCGGCCCGTGCCACGCTTGAGCGTCCAGCACCGCGCTTTGCTGCTGTCAGTGACCGCTGGGTGCACACACTGCCCGCGCTTCCTCCGGGGTCCCGTTCCTCATCCTCACCCCCACAAGCTGCCTACAGATCTCACACACACACACACACACACACACACACACAGGTGTCAGATCTCACCTCCCACATAACTGAAATGGATGCAAATGGCCCTCCCACCGCGCAGTACCTTATTCTGGGGTTTGCACAGAAGTTAGGGACAGTGGCAATTTGAGAGTCAGTTCTAGAACTGGCCAATCTTTAAAACAATACCATAGCTGGGCACTGGTGGCTCACATCTGTAATCCTAGCTACTCAAGGGGCTGAGATCTGAAGATTTCAGTTCAAAGCTAGCCCGGGCAGGAAAGTCTGTGAGACTCTTCTGAAAAACAAACAACTCCCAAATAGAGCACTAGACTTGAGGGGAAAAAAAAGCTCAGGGTCTGCACCCAGCCCCTGAATTCAAGCCCCAGGACCAGCGCCAAAACCAAAAAACAATAGGCTGGTCTCACCTAGTGGTACATGTGTAATCAGAGCAAGTGCATGGGGGATGGAAGCAGTTGGCTTTCAGTTTGAGCCCCAGGCCCCTAGCAAAAACTCGAGATGCTATTTGAAAAATAATGAAAGCAAAAGGGGCCGGGTGCCGGGATCTGTCCGCTTGTTCCTGCAGCTGCTTCCAGCCCGGTCTGGGCTTCGCTTCCCGCCTCGATGAACACACTGGACGCAGTCATGATAAAATTCTGCGCTAATACAGGGACACACAGCTCAGAAGGCCCCAAATGCTAGGTCTGACACATGCACTCACAAGTGCAAGTATACATAACTGCACTCATGTATCACCACCCATGCTCACAGATGTGCGTATATACACACAAACCCCAGACACAATCACGGTCACACGTGCAGACACACACACACATGCGCAGCCTCCCTGTGTGCAGCAGCTGGGGAGGGTGCCCTGTGTGTGACCGGCAGGCGGGGCCCTCTGTGCCCATGTCCCACGCTTTGAGATGTCCAGCAGAAGTGATGGGAGGCAGGCCTGTCACCAGGCACCACGCTGCCTTCCATTTTGTCACTTGGGACTAAATGTTGCTGTCCCCTGGCCTACCGGGTGTGGGAGGAGGTGGGGCGTCACCCGACATGAAGCGTCTGTGTGGCCCTGGCTGGTTAGAGGCCGCCTCCCCTTCCCGCCGCCCGCCCTGGGTCTCCTGAGCGCTGAGATTCAAGGTCAGGTCTGCGTGGGTGTGCCCACCCCACATCCCTCGGACAGTGGGCGTCCACTTCCTGCCGCTCACCCCTGCTGGAGTTCAGCGGGGAGGAAGAGGCGTGGTGTGGAGATGGTGGGGAGCTCTCGGCCCACAGCCTGGGCCTGGCTGGGGGGGGACGGTCGTGTTGGGCCTGGAGACTAAACATGGGCTTCCTGGTGCTCCCGACCTTCCTCCGCCTCCCGGAGTCAGGGCTTGGGGGCGTCCAGGCAGGAGGGGACACGAGACGGGGCTGTGGCCGGGTGGGGGCTGTGTGGGCTGCCTGCTGCCCAGGTAGTCCCCTGGGAATGGCCTTAAAGGAGGACTCGGCCGCCTCGGGCCTCTGGGGAGAGCTGGGAATGGGGAGACCCAGGCCGCCCTCTTGGAGGTCCCCATGCTGCCGCACACTGCGGCCTCTGGGCCTGGGCTAGGACACTGGAGGCCGAGGCCAGAGGCCCGCTGTAGCTGCCTCATTCCGTCCGAGTCTCCCTGAACCTCTTCAGGTCATGACCTTGGCGTGGGCTTTGGGGGCATGTGGGTTACCCCTAGCACAGGAACTTCCCAAAAAGCCCGCAGGAGAGTTCCAACCGCCGTGGGTGCCTGGTACCAGCATCCACCCAGGCTTTGCAGCCGGCAGCTGTGGCTGCTGCTCTGGTCCCTTTTTTAGTTTTTGGCAGTCCTGGGGCTTGAACTCGGGGCCTGGGCGCTGTCCCCTTCTTATGTTCAAGGCTAGCACTCCACCATTTGAGCCACGGCGCCACTTCCAGTTTTTTCTGTGTTCATGGTACTGAGAATGGCACCAGGCTTCTTGCATGCGAGGCGAGCGCTCTACCACTGAGCCGCCTGCCCAGGCCTCTGGTCCCATCTGTGGGTGGAGAATGGGGAGGAGAACAGAGCGGCAGCACAGCTGGCCCCGGCCTGGTGACCCCTGAGCGTAGGCCCTGCCTGTTGCCCCTGGGAGCCCCACAGCCCCGCCCTCAGCCCCGCCTGAGCCCCACTGCCCTCCCCCTCCCCCTCCCCCTCCCCAGACGGACTACTTCCACCTGTTCATCTGCGTGGCCATTGTGGCCATCTACGGGGATGATGTCATCGAGCAGCAGCTGGCCACGGACCAGATGCTCCTGCACTTTGCAAACCTGGCCATGCACATGAACGGAGAGCTGGTGCTTAGGAAGGTGAGTGAGGCCCGGCCGGGCCCTCTGAGTCAGGTGCACATCAACACACAACCCAGCCGCGCCCTTCACTGCCCCCCGCACTCCTATCCCCTCCCATGGGGCTGGCCTTCCCCTCTAGGACCCCAGGGTCCGCATCTACTGCACCTGCACTGCCGCCCATCACCTGTCCTGGGGCGTCCCTTCTGGGCTGGCCCCATCTGGGTGGACCTAGCCCAGAACTGGGAAAACCGAAGGGAGGCGGAGCCTGGGGAGCGTGTCAGTTTCCCACCCGAGGTCAGCCAGACTGAAAGGGACCTTAAGTACCTCCCCTCCTCCCCCTGCCCTGTAGAGAGTACCCAGAGGGCCGCAGGGGTGGGGGTGTCTATGGGGCAGGGGTCCCACAAACACCCTGCAGGCCCTGAAAGCAGATCTTGTGGCTAAGGTGGAGCACCAGGGTCCCCTGGTTGGGCCAAGGGGTGACCAGTGCCCCATTCCTCCTCAGAAGTCAACTGGGAGCCTCCATTTGGGGGGGGGCAGAGCTCCACTGGGCTGGTGTAGAGCTGGGATTGTCCTGCTGTCCTGGCCGCCTAGCCCGAGCTGCCCTCCCTCAGCCCCCCCCTCCGCCCTCCCTCCCCTCCGCAGGCCCGGAGTTTGCTGTACCAGTTCCGGCTCCTGCCGCGGGTCCCCTGCAGCCTGCATGACCTGTGCAAGCTGTGCGGCACGGGCATGTGGGACAGCGGGTGCATGCCCGCCGTGGAGTGTGCCGGCCACCGCCCCGGCTCCGAGGACTGCCCGTGCGGGGGCACGGTGGACACGCCGCCCCCCGGGCCGCCGCCAGAGGGCAAGAAGGGCCTGAGAACACCCCTGGAGGGCTTCAGTTTCCGCAGATAGGTGGGGCTCCCCGGTCCGAGGCCTTGGGCGTCGGGGAGGGGGAGAGGGGCGGGACGGTGGAAAACCCCTGGGTGGAGACACCTCTGGGTGACGAGGAAGGAATCTTGTGGCAGTGGCAGCATCGAGTTGGAAGGGACCGGAGTCAGTGGCCAAGAGAGAAGCCGCCAGAACCTCCCGGGCCAGGCTAGCTTCTGTGGAGCCCTTGTGGCCCAGGCTTTCCTCCGTGCTGAGCTGTGGGGAGCACATGGGGGCTGTGCAGGACGGACAGGGGGCCTATCCAGACCTGCACACCCCAGCCGCCCCCCGCCTGGCCCTGCCCCTCCCCCAGCTGCGAGACTGATGTGGCCATGTCGGCTGAAACAACTAAAACCCAACAAAGCCGCCCTGGGCTCAGGACAGGTGCCCCCTGCCCTGCCCGGCCGCCGCCACAGGAAGGAGATGCCCACAGCGCTGGAGACACCGGCCGCTGGGGGAGGGCCGCACACCGCCCAGGCGCGGCCTTCTGAGGAGCAGGGCCCTGTCTCTGGTCAGCCCCCCTCAAGTACAGCAGCCGAGTGGGGTTGAACGGGTCAAGCTGTGTGCGCGCGCGTGTATACGTGTGCTAGCTCCTTCCAGGAGAATCTGCTGAGTCTGGGGTCCAGGCTGTGATGCCTGATCAGCGAGACAAAGGCACCTGACAGCGCGGGCACTTCGCTGTCTCCCTGCTGGGCCTGGACCTCTGTCCTCGGCTTCTCAGGGGCCGGCACACTCAGGGGTGTGCTTCATAGGTAGGAAGAAGGTCCCCTGGCACCCCAACTCCAGAAGACTGGGTAGTGATCACCCCTGGGGACTGAGGGGGGACAGATGGGGGTCTGTCCCTCAGCACTCCTGGCGGCACAAAAGCAGCGCATCTTGGGCTGAGGGGGGCCAGGGGCCTGGACCCGTGTGTGAGGCCAGCAAGGCCGCTGAGCCTCCTGCCCGTGGCTGCTGTCACCGAAGGTGGCACCGCGGGACGGTGCACTTTTGAAGGGGGGGCTGTCCACAGGCTGGAGCTCCCCCTCCACTCCTCTTTTCCCCTTAGGCCCTCACCTCCGGCAGCCACTTTGAAGCCCCTGGGCCGGGGTGACCAGGAGCCTTTGGGGAGACCCTGCTGGAGGCCGTGGGTGTCCTGGTCTTGGCCTAAACTGAACTTGGGTTGCTTCTGAGAAAGGGTTTTCGGGATTGGCTCGCGGTCCCTGAGGGAAATTCCTGCCCTTCCACCCCGGCTGTCCCTGGTGGCCTTGCCGCCGCCCACCGCCGGGCAGCGCCGTGCAGCTGATGTCTGGAGCAGCGTCCGGGCCGGCCGGGTCTGGTCTCGAGCGGGCCCTCACCCGGGGCCGTTGAGGGGGCCTCCAGGCATGGGGGGGGGGTGTTCTCACGTGTCCCTCCTGCAGCAGGCCCGGGAGGAGCCCAGATGGAAAGGCAGAACGCCATCCTGGCCAGAGCAGGCCTGGGGCTGGGCTCGCGAGGGGTTCTCCCGCGTCCCGGCCCCGTTCCGGGAGGAAGTTGGGAGTGCGGCAGGGTGAGGGCGGCCGACCACAGGCTGCCTGCTGGGGAGAACGCGTGCTCTCCCCGCACCCCTGCCCCGCACCTGCCGGCCAGCCGGGGGCCCGGGGGCAGCACTGCGGCACCCGCTGCCCGGGGACCCTGCGGTGCTGCTGCGGTGCCAGCAAAAGGCCTTAGGTGACCATCTGGCCATTAGGCGTCAGCCTGCCCACACCAGCACACGCACGCAGGGGCGATCGCCCGCGCGGCCCCCGGCGCTGCTCATTTAACCCATTTTATAAAGTGACACTGCACATGGGAGGGGGGGCGGCGTGCGCGCGCAAGCGTCAGCCCGCCGGGTCCTGCGCTGCATGCTGTGTGCATGCGTGCGCATGCGTCAGCCCACCGTGGGCGCTGCGCTGCTTGCTATGCGCATGCGTCAGCCCGCAGCGGGTGCTGCGCCACTTGCTATGTGCGTGCGTGCGCGCGCATGCATCAGCCCGCCGGGTGCTGCGTTGCCTGCTGTATGCGTGCGTGCGCATGCGTCATCCCGCCCGGTGCTGCGTTGCGTGCTGTATGCGTGCGTGCGCATGCGTCATCCCGCCGGGTGCTGCGTTGCGTGCTGTGCGACGTCACCCGGCGCCGTGCGACGGCCGCCCGTCCTGTCACACCGTCCCCAGGGGAGAGGGAAGGGGGCGTCCGGGGAGCTGGAGTCAGGGCTGGGCTGGCACGGCGTCCTCACAGGGTGCAGAGGGGAGCGCGGTGCATTTCTAGAAAGTTCCACCTCAGGTCCCAGCTGGGAGCCTCTGGGGCGGAGGCCCGAGGGCAGCGCCGTTTTCAGCCCGGGTGGGACGGCGTCCCAGACAGCGCAGCCCCTGCGCTAGGCGGGAGCGAGGCCTCGGCCCTGCCGGAAGCCGCGGATCAC